TGAGGATGTGGGTAGGGTACTAAGCTCGACTTTCGTAAGTTCGTATTTGGAAAATGGGATTCAAGCAGCAGGTTCTTGTTTCAAGTATGAGACGGATATGCTGGATCGAGTTCAACAGCAAGAGATCGAAATGGTAAAAGGTCTTTCTAGCATATCTCATGAAGACAGACTGTGACTAATCAAAATATTTCCGTTATTTTACGGGGTTATCGAATATTGACTTATCGTATGCGGAACAATGATCCAGATGTAAACATGCTATATTTTACCCTTTCATGTAGGACTGATTATTTGAGTGGATATTCCAATAAAATTCAAAAACTGAGATAAACTATTTTTTCTGGAGTTCAGTTTCTAACATCGAGTAGTGATGTACTGGAATTCTCTATCTAGACACGTAATATCAGCATCTGTGATACATTCAGAGCAAGATAGAACAAATTGCAAGGGTTAATACGGGTTGATAGACCTACTATCCTCACAACTAAAGACTGAATACTGAGTACTATTATCCTTTACCAATTGACGTTTAAATAGTTGCATTTTTGACATCCATTTGAGTCATAAGTATGTAGACGAGAAGATGCTACTTACAATGAAGTATTTTTAGTTTAGCATGAGTTAATAAGAACACAACTTTGTCTACTTATAACACATTGTGTCCGTTAACTTCCATGGAGGGAAATTTATTCCCAAGGTTGCCGTTGGTTTACTTTTTGATGGCAGCGCTCCAGGGGTATCGCGACACTTTTTTGCTCTACTTCTTCATTTCTGCTTTGTGCACAACCAAATTTTGAAATACATTATGAATAAATTTGAAAATTTATTTTCCGTTTTCATAATTAGGTAAAAAGGGGTTTTTCCATTTTGCGTTACATGGTATCGCGAAGTCCTTGAAAATTCATTATTCAGGTGCTGTTATAATAGTTTTTCGGTGTTTGCATCGCAGATTAGCAATTGTTTCTAGTTAGGTATGCACTGATGGTAGGCAAATCTTTTAATTTTATATGAAATAGCAAGATTCAGGCATATATCGTCATAAAAATTGTATTGTCGTCAAGGCTACAAAAACTGCGTTACAAATAACGATACCATGTAAAGATTTATCGTTTTTCCCATCTTTATCACAATTTCTGCTGATTTTCACTGTTTTGTTCGACTTTTATGGCAGAAATAGGTTTATAGTGAAAACATAAGGTGTCCTGAGTGTCGTAAATATTATGTATATGCTATAGATGATAATAACACATACCAAGATGTTAATATTGCCTCCTACAGTTAGATATATTAGCCACCAGATGATTGTATTGCAGGAAACAAATCATAATCGTGCGGTAGAGGTATAATTATGTGGAGGTTTTACCAGAGACCAAGCTAAGATAGCATTACTACCTCTTGTGTAGATGTACACATGTATTTGGCTGTATCAAAGCATGTCATTAAGATATGGTTGTAACTTTTTTCTTTTTTTAAATTCAGAATTCACGGGACGACTACCTTAATTCTCAATAGCCGTGCAATTGTTTTGATGTTATACTTACATTTCAATAAATATTATTTTTCAAACAGCTTACTTTTTTACTTACATGGGAAGCTGTAGAAGTTTTGAGAATGTGTGTTTGAGTGTCAGTGAACAATTGAATAAATGCACATTCCTTATAAATAATACATCACGTGTTTCTTCTTTTGCAGATAGTTTCACATAACAATGAATTAGCAATTGCATTGGATATGCAAAACAATCGATGCTTAAGCTTCTGCTCTAGTGTTGTACAATAATACGCTTTACCTTTTAAATAAAAATTTTCAAAAATATGCCGGTTTTCCACTGTATTGCAGAGTTATTTTGGTCTGTTGTTAAAAATAAAGGCGAACATAAGAGACCTTTGGGTTTATGTCAATGGATGGAAAACAGGGAGTTCTGTGTGCATTTAGGCGAAAAGTAAACAATTCAGCGGACATTTAGGCGAAAAGTAGACAATTATGCGGACAGTTAGGCGAAAATTCGGTAATTTGGCAGATATTTATGCGAAAAGTGAGTAATTTATCGACAAAACGGCGAAGAAAGGGGAAATCCACATTATTTCCCCCGGACAGGCGAAAAAAGCGACATTGTGATGCGTTTTCCCCTTTTTGGGTTGTCTGGGGAGCTTCAATATCTTGGCTGCCGGTATTATTGCAAAAATACCTAATATCAGAAATAAGTACTGATATAAAGCTGTCACGAGAAAGCACTGAAAATTACGATTCGATAGTCAAGATATCTTGATCTAAGGTGACCAGATTGTGTGAGGTCCTATGTGATGATCTTCGGAAATCAACCAAGGCCTGTCTAGCTTACGTGCTGATGCCGTTAATGACAATTACTCATAACTTACGTGGGACTGCAATAGAATATGCATCAAGAATTGCAGGTTGCACAGGACGATTCAAAGTAAATTCACACAGTAGTCTTTATATATGTTCATCGTCTAAGTTTCCGAAGTGCAACCTGTCCAAAGAATTGAATAATACAATCCGTGTATGTTGTGACCCAGACGTTCCTAAGCAACGCAAGAGATAAAGGAAATAAGCGTGATTGACTATCCAAAGGAAGAATGTGCTAAATGCACTTTCGATCTGTAATTGAATACTGGTTTCCGTTTTTATACTAGTTTCTGATAAACATTTATACTGAAATAACTTTCCTGTCTATCTTATTTCCAGCTAGCTTCGCAAGCGTTCAAAAACCTAACGGGAACAAATCCTGAGAAATAGAATTTATTTATTGATGGATCATTTGTGCTAGATTCAAACTTTAATAAACGTTTTCATTTGTAACGCACCAGTCTTTTAATCACGGCAATTCTTATCTATCGTGACAGGTCGAAATTCGAACTACATGTTCAAGGTAGCAGTATTTGGTAAACGGTATGTATGACTAATCGCGTGTGCGCCAAACTGGTAATTATTACACAAGAACGCGAAACAACATCCCTGTCTCACAGCCACATAAGACTGAACAGTACACTCCCTGCCGTTACGCTATAAGAATAAATCAATGGCCATATAAATGAATTTATGTAAAAGTAAAATGATTACAATATTAGAACTTCTTGTTATCAAGAAGCATAGCTATGATCTGTATTAACAATGGATTCTGATGTTGTAGCTTCATCATTAGCACCGATTGAACTCATCCCTTGTGCGCATGTCTTCCGATGCTTCGAGGCATGAACGGATGAGTTTACTTGCTAAAGGTTCACTAAGAGCATGGACTGAGTGGTAGTTGTTAGTGAACTTCTCTAGCAGATCAACACTCCCTGTAGAGAATGACATGTTGTCCAGCGCACGAAGAACCAAGTCCATTATGTATTTCCATTTCCACCGGCTGCTATGTCGCAATAAGTCTACAAAGCTTATAGAGATAAGGGAACACACTCTTACCTCCACGAATTAGATCTTTGGAATGTGCATACAGAATATGACCACAGGGCAGCATGTTGTCACTGAAACGCTCACAAGCACATCATGCATGTGAAGTATCAACGACATACATCATACACTTGTTGTAGCACCGTATGTATTCTCCTTCTATAAATCCGTGTCTCATTGTCCTAAAACGTTTATAATTTACAGATACAATTTTAGCTGCAAAAGATGTGAACTCACTCATAGGAATTCAAAATGACATTGGAACCTGGAATTCATGATACATTTAACTATATTTCTTACCTAAAGAAATGGAAAACGTTGAAGATTTTTTACAGCGTCATATGGATGCAAACATAGGTCAGTCTGTTTTACCCCAAATTTTTCAGAACGTCAAAAGCAGGGAATCACCTCTTCTGAGACGTTCTTTTAGGTGTTTGTGAGCATTTTCGACACGGTTGTTTGTGTGGTTGCCCAGGCTTAATACATGTCGCCGGTAACAGCGAGCCCACATTGACTTCCTGGCAATCCAGTAGTCTTTTATGTAGTCATACGCTCGTGAGAAATGCGTCCTTAGATGTTCGTACTTTCGAGTATATCTGAATATAATGCGCTATGAAAAGCGAAGCTCACATATCAGACCGTCTAGTCTTCACAAGGTGTTCCAAGCGTTTGCGCACATCAGGATTTCGGAACTACAGATAATTTGTACAGCTAACACATACCTTCCTGAAAAACGCTATCAGGGCATGGAATAAACAAAGTATTATGTTAGAATGACTGTGCGTAGACTGCACAGCCGAAATTTCGGTCGCTGCCGAATCCATAACGAAAGTGCGTGTATCATAAGTACCGTACATTATATCGTTAAAACATTCTGATAGTTTTTAGACATATTCGCGTCGTTCTTGACTGCAAAGAGCATAAATAACAGTGTGCCCTTGCCCAAGACTATCAGTCACCACTAGCTGGAACAGTGAAAAACTTTCAGATAAATTTATTACTAATCGTTACCCGACTTTATTGGTCTGATAAGTCAAATCAATACATATTACCTCCAGGAACGTGAGGTAAACAGCTATTTGCTCTCTGTGGCTGAAGCAAATCATAGTCATGTTCCCATTTTCATTGAATACTTTAACTTCAGTATTTGCTTGAACGCGCTGTAAAATGTCATTGATATTTTTAGTGTCTAAACTCAATTAATTACAATGTGACATATCTCACGAAAAGGTACTTTAGAGTTGGATCATCATTGTTCTTTTTGCATACTGACATAACGTACTTAGTATGCGTATACTAAAAAAATAATTATTAACCACAGAGGTCATATTACCTTATGTACTTCTTTCAAACAGGTCTCAAAACTGTCCCAACTTGTAAATCTTCGAGATAACATAATATCATTGAAGATTCGTCCTATATCATGCTTCATCACGATGGAATCGTCTTCGTTCTTTGAAGAATGAACGTTATCAAACATAATGTGGCTGAACTCAATTCATATCTAAAAATGTCTTGATTTGACCGCTTCCGAAAATTTTCACGAATTGTCGATGTGACGCACCAATCATTTTGCGACAGTTTGACCTCCAAGTGCTCGCAACTCCCATCAGTGGACGATACCCTAGGAGCGTTGCCCTTTTTGATACATACGACATGTTCTGAAAAGATACCAACATTGTTCCACAATATTACTCTGTTAGTTTAATTGTTAATTCACGCAAAACTAGCCTGTTTATGTGGCACAGAATTTGTTCCTGATCTGCTGTATACTGAAACATAATGTCGTCAGCTCAGGTAAATAAAATAAGTCACTTGTTTCTTGAATAAAATTGAAGTGTAACTTCTGGAACAATATTTAGACTATGAACAATTTCATATGATGATAACACAAATCACTTGTGAGTGAAACAACTTACTTACAGCAACCTATAGTTTACGAGAAATAAATTGTTTCCTAGAGGGGAGTTCATACGCAGATACTTGGTTGATAAATTTATTAGTAGTTGAGTTATGCTAGAAATTAACTCCTATAATAAATTTTCTGTCGCATCTAGGTTGAATTACCGTGAAGAATTGACGTATTGTTTACAAATTAATAAGGAGGCACTAAAATAAGGTTACTTATTAACGCCTGTTACTCCTCTTGAAGGAGCATAGGCCGTTCACCAGCATTCTCCGTCCAACCCTGTCGTGTGCAATCCTTTCCACCTCCCAGTTATTCGTCCTTTTCATATCTGCTTCTATGTCCCAACCTAATGTGTTCTTTGGCCTTCCTCTAACGCTTCCCTTCAAGATTCCACGTTGGGGCTTGCCTCGTGATGCAGTTCGATCATTTGCGTGATGCATGTCCTATTCATTTCCACCGTCTTTTCCTAATTTCTTCGTCGGCTGGAAGCTGGTTTGTTCTCTCCCACAAAAGGCTGTTGCTGATGATATCCGGCCAATGGATGTTGATTATCGTGCGTAGACAGCTATTTATAAATACTATTACCTTATTGATGGTTGTTGTTGTAATTCTCCAAGTTTCAGCTCCGTACAGTAAAACTGTCTTGACGTTCGCATAGTAGATCCTGACTTTGATATTGGTTGAAAGTTGTTTCGAGTTCTATATGTTCTTCAATTGAAGAAATGCAACTCTTGCTTTGCCAATCCTCACCTTTACATCTGCATCTGATCCTCTGTGTTCATCGATGATGCTTCACAGGTATGTGAAGGATTCTACATCTTCCAGAGTCTCGCCATCAAGAGTGATTGGATTGGTGTTTTCCGTGTTGTATTTGATAATCTTGGTTTTCTCCTTGTGTATGTTGAGGCTTACTGATGCAGAGACTGCTGCTACACTGGCTGTCTTCATCTGCATCTGTTCGTGTGTATGCGATAGGAGGGCTAGGTCATCTGCGAAGTCCAAATCGTCTAATTGATTTCGAGCTGTTCATTGAATTCCGTGTTTTTCTTCAGATGTCGAGGTCTTCATAATCCAGTCGACCACCAGAAGAAAGAGGAAGGGAGAGAGTAAACAGCCTTGTCTGACTCCGGTTCTTACTTGGAATGCATCTGTCAGCTGTCCTCCATGCACGACGTTGCACTGTAGTCCGTCATATGACTTCCAAATAATGTTCACAATCTTCTCAGGAACTTTGTAATGTCGAAGAAGTTTTCATAACGTCCTCCTATCCACATTGTCAAATGCCTTTTCATAGTCAATGAAGTTGATGTATAGTGACGAGTTCCACTCAACTGATTGTTCGACGATGATCCGTAGTGCCGCCATTCGGTCTGTGCACAACAGATCCTTACGGAATCCAACCTATTGATCTCGAAGTTGGGCATCTACTGCATCTTTCTTCCGGTTCAGCAACACGTTGTTAAAGACTTTCCCTGGTACTGACAGTAGTGTAATCTTTATGTAGTTTTCACGTTTGCCCAGATCCCCTTTGGAATTTTGACGAGGTGCCCTTCTTTCCAATCCATCGGCACTTGTTCCTCCTCCCAAATTTTTTTGAATAGAAGGTGAAGCATGTTTGTAGTTACTTCGATGTCTGACTTCAGTGCTTCGGCTGGTTTATTGTCGGGTCCTGCTGCATTCCCGCTCTTGATTTGTCCGATGGCCATCCTGATTTCTTCCGTCGTTTGTGGATTGACATCTGTAGGAAGATCTGTGTGTGCTACCTCGATGTCTGGTGGATTCATTGGATCTGGCCTATTCAGGAATTCCTCGAAGTACTCTACCCATCTTTTCCTCTGTTCTTGAGCTTCAGTGATTGATCTGCTTTCTTTGTCCTTGACCGGTCTCTCTGGTTTACTATATCTCCCTACTAGTTTCTTCGTTGTATCATAACGTTATCTCATATTTCCTCTTGCAGCTTAATTTGCCGTCATTACTTGTTTTTCCTCGTATTTTTGCTTGTCGACTCTAATATTCTTCACTTGCTTGTTTGCTTCTATGTACTCAGCTTGTGATTGGGCTTTCTCTGCTCGTGTTCAGCTGTTGTTAATTGCTGTCTTCTTGTTCTTCCTTAAATTGGCCACAATTAAGTGGTGATCTGAAGCTGTCAGCTCCTCTCCTAGTTCTCACATCTTCCATTGTCCTTCGGAATCTTTTATTGATGCAAATATGATCTATCTGGTTCTGTGTATTGTGGTAGCTTTGTGCATATGTTTGTGTGGAAATATTGTGCCGCCTATGACTAATTTGTTGAATGTACATAGATTTGCAAATCTTTCTCCATTTTCGTTTTTCTCTCCCAGTCCATGTCGTCCCATGATATCTTCATATTCAGTGTTGTCCATTCCAACTTTGGCGTTTTGATCTACCATCAGAATGGTGAGGTCGTTTCTTGGGCGCTTCTCTATGATTGACTGCAGCCGCCCGTAGAATTGATCTTTAATGTCGTCGTTGCTATCATTGGTGGGTGCATAACATTGGATAATATTCATTGTGATCCTCTCCTTCTTTGATTTGAATGATGCTTTGACGATTCTGGATCCGTGAGATTCCCATCCTACAAGTGCGTTTCATGTTACTTTGGGCAGCGTTAGAGAAACTCCTCTCTGCGACTGGAGTATAATAGCATCTGCCGTATTTAGCCTTTGTTGTCCAGCTTGGGTCCAATGGGTTTCGCTGATTCTCAGTACTGCCAAGTTGTATCTCCTCATTTCCGTTGCTATTTGACTGGTCTTCCCGGTTTCCCAAATTGTCCGGATGTTCCATGTTCCTATAAAAATTATTGCTCTGATTGTTAGAAGGGGTATCGGCCTCGTGAATTCCGAAGGAACTCGGCTTTCACCATGAGGCGTCATAGTTCTTCTAGATGAAGACCTTCTAACGCCTAGGGCAGAGTTTAAATGGTTTGAATTATTTTTTGTGGTTAGCGTTTTTTTAGCGAGTTAGTTTTCTACGGGATGTGGTCGCTAACCCCATGCCCAACCCTCCTCCTTTACCCAGGCTTTGGGCCGGCAGTAACTCTAGAAGAGCTACAGGCGGAGTTAAAATAAGGTTAGTGTTGTGGATGCGGAAGGATAGACCAATAATTATCATGTTAAGTCCAATGGTGTCCTTGGACTTTAAATGGACATTTCCTATTGGTCGTTACAACAGTTAGCAAATGTAAATAATGTATAGTTTGCTAGACCTGGTTCGTTCCATTGCATTTTGACCTATACCACATCGCTTAGCCTGTGGTATTTTAAAAATCTTTATATGTAGTGTACAGTGTTTGCTGATTAAATTTGCTTGAGTCTATCTCGTTCTCTGTGGTGTGGTCTGGTGAGATCCATGTAGGTTTGTGTATACGTTTGTGTGGAAATATTGTGCCCTTAAATGCCCTGGTATGGCCGAGAGTGGGGTGGGCCCTCCCTCCCTCTCGAAATGCTCTCATACGGCCATGCGTATACAGCCTCTGCCAGCGAAGTCCTACTCATTGCCTTCTCGTGGCGGGGTGTTGTTTACGAAAATGAGAGGACGAAAAGCGAACGTCCGGCGCTTTAACCGGATTCCAAACCAATGGTGCACATGGGCCCCAGTATCCTGTGGGAACAAATGGCGTATGAACCAATTGTTGGTCACTGGCTACCATGGGATTGCATCTCCTCACGATGCTCCATTGCCTTGTGGGTCAGGTCTTTAGGTCCAAGGCTCGGGGTGTTGCCCCCTAAGAAAACCGCCTGCTTCGGTCTGGGCACCTGGGCGGTATCCCAGCCCCCATACAAATCGAATGATTTATGTGGCGCATATGTATTTGGTGCCTCCTTGTACCAATGTTTGTGTTTAAATAAATAAATAAGTCCATTCCTGTAAATTTATTCGACTGGCATGGAAGGCGAACTCACCTCATTTTGCAAACTTTGTGGCTATATACAATTAACCCTAATTTAACAGTCTGGTTTATTGATTCACCAAGGCGTAGGATAGTGTGGTTTACTTCCCACTACTTTTTGTTATCTAAAATCCAAGTTATATATATATATATATATATATATATATATATATATATATATATATATATATATATATATATAAACCGACAAATATCCAAAAATAATAATTTAAAAGTCACGAGTCTAAGTTAGTCGCTGGTTTGCAATAAAAATCCGCCTACAAGGATTTAAATTTGTTTTCTTGTTCTTGGCAATCAGTGACTCTACTTCTGATCTATTTAATTCACCACCGAAATTTTAGGACTTTATAGATAGCGGTTGAACTAAGAATAAAAAGAATATGATAGAACAATATATCTTAAGCAACCGTGTTCAATTAAAAACCCCACTATTCAAATAGTCATAGGGAGTTTCGGACTTGCAACACTGCAAGATTTATAAGATTATTATTCTTACCATCATTATTGTGCATTTACCCATTTTACATCTCTAGATACGAAACTACGTGGCGGAACTTTCTAATTTAAAGGATCAATTCAACACTCTTTCTATTCAGTCTAGTGAGAAACTTAAAAAGATTATTCAAACTGTCCAATCTTATCAAACACGTATGGAGCCGCTAAATAAAAATATGGAGCAACTTCAGATTTTACAAAGAAGTTAGTTTTGTATTCCATCGCAAATTTTATTCTCCACTTGCAATTATTATTATTTATTATTATCTACAAATGAATATTGACCAAAATTACCAGTTAAATAAATGTCTAGCTATTACATGCAGCTTTCAGTGGAGACAGATACTTCATTTACTGAGTCTTCACGTATTCGGAACTACTCTATATAATTCCTTTTTGTTAACTTTAAGTATCAGTAATCTCCAGGTTAAGGTAGTAAATACCGAACTGTAGAGCAAAATATTTATTTACTCTCATACACCCACTAGAAGATATCTCTCTTCAGAAATTTTGACCGAACATCATCGTGTGTTTTGTCTAACCTTAATATAGTGTTGTTTGAGTAGGAATTTCAATAAAAGTTAGTCTTACTGTTAAACTGCTACTGAGGCCTCATAACATATTTTTTCACAAGTATGTAGGTTTTAGGAAATCAGGTTTTAGTGAATAAATTAGAAAATAATATTCACCTTAGTGAGTTAGAAATAGTAGATTTGTACTGCTTTATTAATGGAGTGTCACATTCTAAGTTGCTTCTGCGTGACTGAGCTTCTTAATTTTTCAACCTGTAAAATAAAATGTTAAGTAATTTATTTCTTAAATTTTTTACCTTATACAGATCTAGAGGCCTGTCGACTAAAGTTAAGTCAAGTGCAAGAGTATCACCGTACTGGTCGTGAGTTGGAAAATACTATTAGACAAGGGTAATTTTGTATATATATAATTCATAACAGAAAAAAATCTGATTTTCTCTTCTTCCTACTTGTAGACCGACAGTTTTTACTGACAAATTTTTAAAGGCTATGGAACGTATAAAGGATGCGTTGGCATATTTTCAAGAGAATAATCCACAAGATGTTGAATTTAGTCGATTGGTAAGGGAATATGAAATATTATCAATGTTTTCTGTTCAGCTAATTATTTTCTATTGCATTTATCTTCTGTTTGCATTTAATTATTTGTGTACGTATCTTCAATTTTTCTGGCTCCTAGACATCATTGTATTCAATTGGCTTAGGAAGCTTGGAACGTGAATTCGATGGTTTATTAAGACAAACTTTCCGTCCTATAGATGATGCTACTTTAATAAGATTAATGGATCAAAAAGGTGCGTTTATAGTTTTTAATGAAGATCCTAATTTGTCTATTATATTTACAATTTCAGTATAACCCATCCCTCAAATGTGTTTTTGTTTCATTGATTCTGTAAATATTTTGGGAGGATAGAAAAGAGTTATGAATCTAGTGCTCTCTTGAACTAATTATCAGACTGCCTCAATCATTATGTATGTAGCACTTACTTCTGTTCTTTCAGAAAATAGTTGTTCTCTGGCTACCTTTTTTGTTATTCTGGATATACTAACCATCCAGTGTAACTTCGATATCAGGTTGGAGATAATCTTTAGTGTCTTATTAATGTAATCAAGTAACAGTCATCTACTATTAGACGGAAACATAATGATTCCTTCCCTTTAGGTGGAATTCAGATAAATTCATTTTTGGGAACTATCTTTGCCAAATTATTCATATTTACGGTGAGTTAGGAGATGCTGTTTTTCGTTATGAAACCACTAGACTAGAGCTTACACTAATTACCTCTAATATTATTGATGTTATTGCATTTCCAACTGTTTATTCACTATCATCTTCCGTATTGTGCTGATAAATCATAAAATCCTGTTTACAAACTTGAAGTGTGCATATTCTTTCATTGTTTTGTAATTCAAACAGCGTTTTTGTAATTTTAACATGATTTTTATTTTTATTTGGTGTTTTTCTTTAAGAATGATAGACTTCGACCGTGAACTTAACTTGGCGTTTATTATTCTCACACCCACTTACTTACTTACTTACTTACGCCTGTTACTCCTCGTGAAGGAGCATAGGCCGCTCACCAGCATTCTCCATCCAACCCTGTCCTCAGCAATCCTTTCTAGCTCCGTCCAGTTGTAATTCATCGTTTTCATATCTGCTTCTATTATCCGACGCAATGTGTTCTTTGGCCTTCCTCTTGTTCGCTTCCCTTCAGGATTCCAAGTTAGGGCTTGTCTCGTGATGCAGTTTGACGATTTGCGTAATGTATGTCCTATCCATTTCCATCGTCTTTTCCTAATTTCTTCTTCAGCTGGAAGTTGGTTTGTTCGCTCCCACAGAAGGCTATTGCTGATGGTATCCGGCCAATGGATGTTGAGTATCTTGCGTAGACAACTATTTATAAATACTTGTACCTTCTTGATGGTTGTTGTTGTAGTTCTCCAAGTTTCAGCTCCATACAGTAGAACTGCCTTGACGTTGGTATTGAAGATTCTCACTTTGATATGCGTTGAAAGTTGTTTTGAGTTCCATATGTTCTTTAACTGTAGGAATGCTGTCCTTGCTTTGCCAATCCTTGCCTTTACGTCTGCATCTGAACCTCCTTGTTCATCGATGATGCTTCCCAGGTATGTGAAGGACTCTACATTTTCCAGAGTTTCGCCATCAAGAGTGATTGGGTTGTTGTTTTCCGCTTTGAATTTGAGGACTTTGGTTTTCCCTTTGTGTATGCTGAGGCCTACTGATGCAGAGACTGCTGCTACACTGGCTGTCTTCATCTGCATCTGTTCGTGTGTACGTGATAGGAGAGCTAGGTCATCTGCGAAGTCCAAATCGTCTAATTGATTCTGAGCTGTTCATTGAATTCCGTGTTTTTCTTCAGATGTCGAGGTCTTCATAATCCAGTCGACCACCAGAAGAAAGAGGAAGGGAGAGAGTAAACAGCCTTGTCTTACTCCGGTCCTTACTTGGAATGCATCTGTCAGCTGTCCTCCATGCACGACTTTGCACTGTAGTCCGTCGTATGAGTTCCGGATAATGTTGACAATCTTCTCAGGAACTCCGTAGTGTCGAAGAAGTTTCCATAACGTCCTCCTATCCACACTGTCAAATGCCTTTTCATAATCAATGAAGTTGATGTATAGTGATGAGTTCCACTCAACTGATTGTTCGACGATGATCCGTAGTGTTGCAATTTGGTCTGTGCATGATCGATCCTTACGGAATCCAGCTTGTTGATCTCGAAGTTGGCCGTCTACTGCATCTTTCATTCGGTTCAGCAACACTCTGTTGAAGACCTTCCCTGGTATCGACAGCAGTGTAATGCCTCTATAGTTTTCACATTTGCTCAGATCTCCTTTCTTTGGAATCTTGACGAAGTGCCCTTCTTTCCAGTCCATCGGCACTTGTTCCTCCTCCCAAATCTTTTTGAATAGAAGATAAAGCATGTTTGTAGTTGCTTCGATGTCTGACTTCAGTGCTTCAGCTGGTATGTTGTCCGGACCCGCTGCTTTCCCGTTCTTGATTTGTCTGACGGCCATTCTGATTTCTTCCTTCGTTGGTGGGTTGACGTCTATGGGAAGATCTGTGTGTGCCGCTTCGATGTCCGGTGGATTCATTGGAGCCGGCCTATTCAGGAGTTCCTCGAAGTATTCTACCCATCTGTTCCGCTGTTGTTGAATTTCGGTGATTGGCTTGCCTTCTTTGTCTTTGACCGGTCTCTCTGGTTTACTGTATTTTCCTGCTAGTTTCTTCGTTGTATCGTAAAGCTGTTTCATATTTCCTTCTCTAGCAGCTTTTTCTGCCGTCGTTGCTAGTTCTTCCACATATTTCTTCTTGTCGGCTCTAATGCTCCTCTTCACTTGTTTGTTTGCTTCTATGTATTCAGCTTGTGCTTGGACTTTCTCTGCTCGTGTTCGGCTGTTGTTTATTGCTGCCTTCTTGTTCTTCCTTTCTTTGATCTTGTCCAGTGTTTCTGTAGAGATCCATTCCTTATGATGGTATTTCTTTAGACCCAGAACCTCTTGACACGTTGAAGTCAATGCTTCCTTGATGCCTTTCCAGTTGTCCTCCATACTAGTTTCTTCTTCTTTCAGTAGATCTTGTAAGGCTTGGAACCTGTTGTTGAGAGCTATCTTGAATTCATTGAGTTTGTCAGTATCTCGAAGGAAGGCTGTATTGAACCTTTGTATTGCTGTTTGTCCACTTGTCCAGTTCTTTTTTAGCTTCAGTTTTAAATTGGCCACAACTAGGTGGTGATCTGAAGCTACGTCAGCACCTCTCCTGGTTCTCACATCTTCCATTGTCCTTCTGAATTTTTTGTTGATGCAAATATGATCTATTTGGTTCTCTGTAGTGTGGTCCGGTGAGATCCATGTAGCCTTGTGTATACGCTTGTGTGGAAATATTGTGCCTCCTATGACCAATTTGTTGAATGCACATAGATTTGCAAATCTTTCTCCATTTTCGTTTCTTTCTCCCAGTCCATGTCGTCCCATAATATCTTCATATCCAGTGTTGTCTATTCCGACTTTGGCATTTAGATCTCCCATCAGAATAGTTAGGTCCTTCCTTGGGCATTTCTCAATAACTGACTGCAGCCGCTCGTAGAACTGATCTTTAATGTCGTCGTTGCTATCATTTGTGGGTGCATAACATTGGATAATATTCATTAAGATCCCGTCCTTCTTTGTTTTGAATGATGCTTTGATGATTCTGGATCCGTGGGATTCCCATCCTACAAGTGCATTTCGTGCTAATTTGGACAGCATAAGAGCGACTCCCTGAGTGTGTGGAGCATTGTCCTCTTCGTGACCGGAGTATAGCAGCATCTCTCCCGTAGCTAGCCTTTTCTGTCCAGCTTGGGTCCAGTGGGTTTCGCTGATTCCCAGTACGGCTAAGTTGTATCTCCTCATTTCCAATGCTATTTGACTGGTCTTCCCGGTTTCCCAAATTGTTCGAACGTTCCATGTACCTATAAAAATTTTTGCTCTGGTTGTTAGAAGGGGCATCGGCCTCTTGGCTTCCGAAGGAACTCGGCTTTCACCATGAAGCGTCATAATTCTTCTAAATGAAGACCTTCTAACTCCCAGGGCAGAGTTTAAATGGTTTGGATTATTTTTTCTGGTTAGCGTTTTTTTAGCGAGTTAGTTTTCTACGGGATGGGGACGCTAACCCCATGCCCAACCCTCCTCCTTTACCCGGGCTTGGGACCGGCCTATAAGAGCTACAGGCGGAGTTTCACACCCACTAGTTGATTAAATTTAGGTGACCATCGTTACTTTAGCTCACAGTGTATAATTAGTGACTCAGTTTTCAATCAACAGTTCACAGGTACAAACTCCTCTCGATCTACTTCAGTATATGCGATTCGATTGGGTCGTCTAACTTTTTCACGCATTTCTACTTTTAAACAGGTGGCTCGTTTCCAACTATCCACCTATTTTGCTACATCATACAGATATATCCGATGATTTACGAACTTCCAAATATAGATCTGTTCTATCCAAGATATGTTAGTCCAACTCCTTGAGTTTTTTCCTGTTTGACGGTCACTTTTCTGTTGTATGATTTTATAATTTACTGAAAATTCAAGTAACTCATATGCTTAATATTTACTTAAAACTTCCCTATTATTATTAAACTACTAATGCAATTCGGTAAGCAAGTTCAGGTTTATGTATTCAGGTCTAAGCCATACGCTTTTGCCTGTAAGAGCTAATGATATTGTTGGCTGTTAGATTTAGTCATAAAGTAATTTATTCACAATCCATTTTGTCAACAGCAAACTCATTTAATTTACACTAAACTTTTAAATTTTAGTCTCTGACAAAGAATCAGGTGATGGTTCATTAACTGAAGATACAGAACAAATAGAGGATATTCCTAATAATATGTTGAATAGTTTACGTTTTCTTGCTAAATGGATGAGTGAAAATCAATCATTTGTAAACAAACCACAAGGTATATCTCAAGGATGTTTGACAAAATATTGTGAATGCCGTCGGGAACTTATCCGTTTAAATTTAGTAAGGTAATTTTATGTTAACAGTGTGTTTCATTTTATAGATTAACATAATTCCGTCTATAAAGTATACTGATAGATTTTCCTACACAACTCACTATAGAATCAAAGTTATCATGGCTGGGAAAAATAGGCTTTAGTGTTGTGCGATAAACTGGCCCTAGCAACTTCTGATTTATCATACATCGAAAATAATAAAGATGATAATCACATTTCAGGTACATCCTATCAGTGTCTCAATAGTTAAAGCGTTCAACGTTTAGACGCTAAGTTGGTTGTTCGATCTTCTCTCCAACCTACTTCATTCTAGCCAACGAGGTAGTACACCCAGAGCTTACTATCAGAATGTGATTGGAAGCCAAATGTGGGAATCTGCACGTAGTAGGCGATAGGAATCCAAGCAAGTTTTGAAGTAGTCATTTCTAAATAAGTGGGGAAATATTTGTTTCATAGTTTAGGTCAGGGTTCATTGAATGAAACCTATCTAGATATGAAAACCTAGCTTTCTTTTGTGTCACAGATCCATTAAATATTGTTTTCCAATTAATTTTTATTATTTTATACCCATGGTCTCCTTAAATTAATGTGTTATTTTTGACTACCTTAATATACATGGGAATACAAGCCTATATAAGGCTTGGCCTGGTCGATGTTTGGTAAATCAATCGCGATAAATTTTTATATCCAAGATTGTAAAAAAATATTCTATTATGGTTTCATTTTCATACTATAATAAGACTATATTCCTTACCTAGTGGAAATATGGAAAGACAACTGTATAATTTGAACACAGTGAAATATTGAACTATTAACCACATATGGCACGCATAGGGTGCGTGATATGAATGAAGAAGTCTGAACTAAGCCACTAATCCATCTGTGTTATATACGTACCTGGCGGTCGAAATATTTTGTTCGTAACCGTTATGCTGCAGGGTTGGACTGCGCTTTACACATCATCAGGTTTTGATGTTGATTTGTGTGGTGTAATAACTATGCCATTCATTCGAAGTTTAATTCTGTAGTGCAATATTTTTTAATGCTTAATATATGATACAAAAACATGTTACGCATATGTTTTGTTATTGATACTACTACTTAACGAACAGTTATTTTCCTATACTACATGGAATATTTTTAGAGTACGCGAATTATTAAGAAAAGCTGAAAATCCATCATCATCATCTGGCACAGTATCTGTGAGTTTATTTATTGTGCTAATTTTTACTGAATTTTCCTGATTAGATATAGATTTTGCAAAAATTGTTATACTTTTTGCATATTTGTTTCCAATTATTTTAGAAACCAGGATTTCTACCGCCAAACGTACGTGGTCGCACTAAACGGTAAGTATTAAACTTTCTCTTGTAGTATTGTACAATTATCCTACTTTATATCATGATGTCGTCAGTTTTTTCTGTTTCTTGTGTTATATGAAATTACTAAACAAAATTTCAAATTAAATTGTTAGCTGTCATATGCAGATAATATAACCTAATCATTTTGTTGGAAAGCATACTCATCTTCATATTCATGAATTAATCTCTTATCCGCCTGTGGTCCTTCTGGGATTACTGTTGGTCCCAAGCCTCGGATAAAAGAGGAGGGTTGAACATATGGTCAGCAACAATGTCTCGTATAAAGCAACGTTGTTTAAAGAAAACGCTAACCATAATGAACAATCGAAACTCTGTCCTCCGAGTTGAAGGATCTTCATTTAAAAGAATTATAAGGCCTCATGGTGAAAGCCGAGAATCTGTCACCAGTTCGACGCCCCTTCTAACAACTAGAGTAACAATTAATATAGGTACATGAAACGTATAGACAACATAAGAGACCAGGAGGACTAATCAAATAGGTGTGGAAATAAGGAGATACAAGTTAGCGGTCCTCAGGATAAGTGAAACCCATTGGATGCAGACTGGACAGAAAAGATTAGATTTGGGAGAGGTACTGCCGTATTCTGATCATGAAGAGAAAAATGCTCCACAGACTCAGGGATTTGCTCTGATCCTGGTCAGAGAAGCATGTAAAGCACCTATAGGATGAAAATCTCATGAAGCCAGGATCATCAGAGTGACCTTCAAAACAAAGAAGTAAGGAGTCACACTGAATATTATCCAGTGTTATGTACCCATCAATGACGACGATAAAGATCAACTTTATGAGAGGCTGCAATCGATCGTGGCGAGGTGCTCGGGAAAGGGCCTGACCATCTTGATGGGAGAACTGAACGTCAGAGTCGGAATAGACAACACTGAATATGAAGATACCATTGGACGGCCTGGACAGAGAGGAAGGAATGAGAATGACGAGAGATTTGTAGACTTATTTGCATTCAACGAATCGGTCATAGGTGGCACTATATTCCCCACAAGCGGATGCAATGTTTTGCATAGATTTCACCGGATCACGTTACAGAGAACCAGATAGATCATATTTGCATTGCTAAAAAATCCAGATGGTCAATAGAAGATGTGAGAACTACGAGAGAAGCTGACATGGCTTCCTATCTGAGCCGCTGTTGGTAAAAAAACCTAGTTGATTATTTTAAGAGAACATAATTTTTATACCCTTTATTTTGGTTAACACTTCATCTAATGTTTCAACTAACATCAAACGCTTTATGATCACCTCTAATGAACCTATGTTGCATAAATCAATAATATTTGACTCAGGCGTTTGTTTTAAAGGCTGGAGAAAAGTTCTACATATCATTAAGATTCAATCATCCAAGTACAAAACTACGCTGTTAGCACAGTAGATGTTTTCGAAACCTTAACGCATAGATCTTTCTTAGATCACGAAGTGACAATTAATGAATGTTATTTTTGTCACTACACATAGTGTGAAGGCAGAATATATAAATAACGTATGCTAAGTTGAATCGTCATTGATTGGGCGATGCAAATTAATTACATGTTTACTAAGGTGGGATTTGTCAAATAGTGTTAGAAAATTTTAGCGTAGTTCCTTTCTTTAAGCTTACTGGTGTATTGTGAAGTTTTTATTGTCTAAACAATTTATTATTCTAAACACAATGATCAGTATACAGTTTTTCAAAGTTTATGCCTATTTTACGTAATCTTTTCAATGAAATTACATACAAATTGATTTTAAAAATTGCTGATATTTCAGGAATTTAAACAATGTATTACCAGTTTTCCAATGTTTATTTGATTTTATTTAAGCCTCCCTGGATTCGTTTGGGATAGTAAGTGATGTTATTTCGATTCCTATGCATTTTATTGATAATGAGGTTAAATAGAATGATTTTTCTGTCGTTATTTCTTTACTTGCTAATACTAAACTTTATTTGACTTCAGTGTGATTCATTCCATCATAATTATTCATCATCTAAATTTTGTGTTCTGAGATGCTCCCTAAGTGTCTAGATCTTGGATTCCCTAGTGCATCATTGGTTTGAAATTAAGATTTTACCATTCCCCTAGGTCTACTCTCCCTATTCATCAACCCGGTTTAAATGTCAAACGTTCTCTTTGGTCCTCTCACTCACTTACGTAGTGAAAAACTATGTGACGGTATGAGTGGCACTTCCCTCACTGTTCTATAAACGTGTGACTGTGTGACAGCATTGCGTAAATAACAACGAAATTTCAGTCAGTCAGCTACAACGTAGGACCAGCCACATATGTGCATCGGTCCAGGTTGCCATACCGCATCAGCACAACAAGATGAACACCGGATTCATAACAGTGGTTAGGTAAAAGGTGGTAATATATAAGAGAAAGATTGCATATAGAGATATAGTACAAGAAGAAAGAATTGGTTCGTAGAAAGAAAGATATGAAGCGCTTTTAATCTCTTAGTTTAAAGGAAGACAGGGAGTGTATACACCGACGCCATTGTGATCGATTCTGAGCCATGTCACCAAGAGTCTCCAACCATTGGTTACGATAGTCACGCGGACCCCAACCAAGTAGTCTGCATTTACCAACATGGCTCAGACTGGAAGTTAGTGACTTTGAGCACTGATGCCACGTTTTGGTTTGGCCGCCCCTAACTTTCTTCCAACCATTTCCAATACCGGATAGCATTGCACGTCGTAACACGTGGCCCAACCATCTCAGTCGATGAAGATTCATAACCTCGTCAACTGATTTACCATCATTTCCTAATACCCTGCGTCTAACCTCACTATTACTTACCCGATTATCTCAGCAGACGCCAGCAATATTTCTAAGGCATCTGTGGTCAGATACTAGTAGCTTACGAGTGTCTTCTACTCTTAATGGCCATGTTTCGCTGCCGTAAATTAAAACAGAACGGACTGCCGCGCAGTATACCCGTCCTTTTATTGATAGACGGATATCTCACCTTCGCCACAGGTGACGTAAGTTGGCAAAAGCCGAACGAGCTTTTCGAATCCGTGCTGAGATTTCGTCCGATACCAACCCATTAGGGCTGATCAGACTTCCAAAATAAGTGAAGTTGTCAACGCGTTCGACTACTTCACTCCCTATCCTTAGTTCAGGTGTTAACGCAGACCAGTCCTGAAGCAACAACTTGCATTTCGAGGGAGAGAAGCGCATTCCAAACATTCTGGCATTGTTACTCAGTGCTACCAGAAGACTCTGCATTTTGTCAGCGTCTTCACCAAACAGGTCTATGTCATCTGCGTATTCTAAGTCGATAAGTGGACCTCCTGGATGGAGATCAATACCCGAGAACTCAGTCGACGAGAAAGTTATTTCCATCAGTAGATCTATGATGAAGTTAAACAAAAATGGGGAAAGTGGACATCCTTGACGGACTCCGCTTGAGGTTGCAAAAGTAGATGACAGTTCGCCATAAGCTCTTACTCGACTAGTAGTGTTCGAGTAAAGAGCCTTCACAAGGTTTATGTACTTCTGAGGTACGCCTTTCAATGACAGACACTGCCACATAATCTCGCGGTCTACCGAGTCAAATGCTGCTTTTAAGTCAAGAAAGACCACCATCGTCGGACGCCGATAAGTATGCCTATGTTCTAGAACCTGACGAATGGTGAATATGTGGTCGATGCAGCCACGACCAGGTCTGAAGCCAGTTTGATTCTCTCGTGTTTGCAGTTCACGAGTCTTAGTTAGGTGTCCAATAATTATCGAGGCTAGTATTTTAGATATTATATTAGTTAAACTAATCCCTCTGTGGTTGTCACAGGATGATTTTGACCCTTTCTTATATATTGGGGCGATAAGTGATTGTGACCAGTCAGATGGAATAACGTCTAACTCCCAAATCTTAGCTAAAATATTAGTCAACCTAATAGCTAAAATTGGACCACCATCCTTAAAGACTTCTGGAACCAGTCCATCTGGACCAGTTGCCCTTCCTCGTTTCAGATTATCTATAGCCTTTTGAACTTCAGCAAGAGTTGCGGGACCTACTTCAATGTTCCATTCACGCTGTCTGGGAATGGAGGGTAGTTGTAGAGTAGCTGAAGGCCAGCTGAACTGTTCCCTAAAGTGTTCCGCCCATCGTTCTAAACGTCCGGACTGGGAATAGATGAGAGTATCTCACTTACACTTGACTTATTAATTCCAGTTTCTTTTATTAGTCTGTAAAGTTGTCTTGTGTTCCCTATAGTCGCCGCCTTTTCCATCTCTTTTGCTTTCGTTGCCCACCACTGCTCACGGTCGTTTCTTAAACTTTTTCTTAACCTAGATCTGATTTGTTGTCGCTCTTCATCATGTTCGGAACCTGATGGGACGAGTTTGCGAGAATCCATCAGTGTGATAGACTTTGAAGAAATCCACTGGTTCTTTGAAACTCTGTGGTTTAAGTCGCTAATAGATGTCACTGCTGCTTCAACAGCTGCTTGTATGTCTTTCCAAGCAACATCTGGGTCAGCCTCGTCTTCAGAACTACCTAAGTGTGAACTCAGTTGTTCTTGGAATCTATTTTTGTTTTTCTCGTTACTCAACTCAGTTCTAATGGGTCTTTTTAATGTGGCTTTTTTGCGTCCGGTGAGGCGCAAGCAGATGCGTGCCCGTATTAGGGCGTGGTCGGAGTCCAAGCAGGTATTCCCGAACGAGCGACAATCTTCTACCGACCCTCTCCAACGATGACTGATGGCAATATGGTCTATTTGAGTCCATCGTTGGTTTGGTGTAGGGGGTCGCCATGTTAGACGATGTCTCTCCTTATGCTTAAAATTTGTGTTTGCTAATAATAAGCGATTGTCTGAGCACAGTTGCATCAGACGGACAGAGTTTTGAGCACTAGAATCGTTGGCTATGGTGACACTTGAGGAGGAAGCCGAAGGAGGAAGTTTAGGGTTGAAAGTCGATGTAGGAGGAATAATAGGAATTGAAGAGGAAGGTTGATTATGAATACAATGGTCTTGGGTACTGTTAGAGGTATGAGGGCGGTTATCACTTCCCGGTTGTCCACACCGTGGAAGGGTTCTTCTGGAGGTACCTGAAAAGGAAATTGGATTAGAGGCGGTCTCAGCGACCTGAGAGCGTGACTGCAGTGCCCAAGGGACAACTTCTTGAGGCCGGTCGCGCACGGCCTTTTCGTGGAAGGTTTTTGACATGTTAGCTCCGTTCTTCATAGGGCCTTACCGCCGGAGACGGAAATCCGTGAGGTAAGGTGAGGTGTGCATTTTTATGGTCGACCTTTTCTAACCCCACCCCTCCTTGTGGGAAGGCAGCATCGCTGTCATGCTGGTTGTCTGAAGGAAACACCTTACTACTGTTACACCTCTGTACAGTCAGCAGTACGACTTCGCCTTCGGACCTTAGGTTTGTTGCTTTTAGTCTTATCGCTCTTCAACCGACCTGTCTGACATGGTAGGACCTTGAGGAACGGTTGTTCCAGTCAGTATAGCTCGGTTGCTTCATCACGATAGGCAAGCCCGACCACCACGTCAAGGTAGCAACAACGGTCAGGATAACAACGAAATCCTCCCAATTTTCGCAATAACAGAGTGTTTTAAGGCTACAACATTTTAAGTTATTCGTGGTAGGTTAACAATCTTGACAATCATATTCTTTGTTTTTAATTCTGCTAAAATGTCAACGTTTTGGCTATCCTCACCTTTTAGATTATTAAATTAGAATAAGAAGAAAAACGTGTATTTGTGAACTAAACCAATAATTTTAAACACTCTATAATCTTTGTTTATGAAAATTGCTCTGAAAATATACAACTTCCTTTATTATGATAACAGTAACCTGAGAGAGTGTTTCAATTATTTTTTCTATTACGATCTAGAAATATTATTTTCTTGTCTGATATGATGTTCCATCTCTGTTATCAGATTATCACGTGACAAAGCAGAGGAAATTTCTAAGATGAGAATAGTCTAACTATAGTTGATATCGCGTAATAAACTAAATAAAATCAATGCATGTGAAAATTCTAGAAAAATTTCACACTCTACGTGTAATTTCTCGATTACGTACTCAGTTATTATGTAGAACTCTTCATTGGTGCTCTATACTGAATCTGACATGATATCTTCAAGTCTTTCAGTGGTCTATAATTCCAATATTTGTTAACATATATCATAGAGCATTTCTCATACAATATCATCAATATGTTTCCATCTTACTTTCAACCTAATTGATTTCACATACCACAGCTTCCTTTTAAAAATGCACTCCGAGACAAGTTGCTAGTTAGCACGTTATTGTTGCTAATTAAATTAGTTTATTGTTGTTGGCAGCACACGTAGACCTTCCTATAGGTGTTAATCCAACAACGACCGACGAAATCACGGTGGCCATCAGACAAATAAACATTGGGAAAACGCTAGAACCTGATAACATAGCAGCTGGGAGGGAATTAACTAGAGAGTGAACATGGCTTGAGACCTGCTCATGAATGCATCAACCACATATTGACCATTCGTCAGATTGTAGAACTCGGGCATACTCATCGGCGTCCGACAATGGTGGTCTTTTTAAACTTAAAATCAGAGTTTGTCCCTATTAACCGTGAGATTCTGTGTCAGTGTCTGTTATTAACAAGAGTACCTCAGAAGTAAATAAACGTTGTGAAGGCTCTTTACTCGAACACTACTAGTCGAGTCAGAGCTTATGGCTATTTGTCATTTGATTTCGCAACATCTAATGGTGTCCATCAAGGCTGTTCACTATCTCCTCTTTTGTTTAATTTTATCATAGACCTACCGCTGGAAATAACGTTCTCGTCGACTGAATTTTCAGGACTTGATCTCCTACCAGGAGGTCTACTTATCGCCTTAGAATGCAAAGATGATATATTCCTGTTTGGTGAAGACGTTGATAAAATGCAGTCTATTGATTGTACTGAGCAACAATGCCAGATTGTTTAGGATGCGCTCCTCCCCCTCTGAATACAAATTGCTGCTTCATGACTTTTTCATCGTATTTGCATACTAATTTTCTGGTTTTTAAAAATAAAAAATTACTATTTTGTCAGAAATTTAAGAATTTATGATGGTTAACAAAAGAAAATTGCAATAACAAGTTATTAATTTAGCAAATTATACTGAATTAGATGGTTGAGAAGTTAAGGTAGATGGTTAATTATTTAAAAGTATGTAGAATTGTTTATTTAATCACGAATCAGCAGTATGAATCATTGCAACCCTCGATGGATTAGCCGTTGTTGATCACAGCTAAAATAGGAGGAAAAAGTGTGTATTTTGAACAGTTAAAAAGGGTTGTCTTTGCATATTACGCGGATATCAAGTAAAATTTAGCTAGTTATTGTTTAATAAACCATAGTCATTATAACCGGACGCTGATATGTTTACTTGGCTTCTAGCCATACTTCAAGTGTAAGGGTTGTCAATATCTATCAGTTGCCCAAAGTGAATTAGATTGAACTGGGTTTTAACCTGCTACTTAGTGGATGTAAGTTGAATATCTTAACCACTGAGCTGTCAACATCTTAAGAATAGTTGAAAATAGTTTCAGTCATTATTTTTACTTTTTATTTAACAAGCACATAAATACTGTGGTTAAAATTCATATAAATATTAATAATTTTCCTTTTCAATATTCGTCGAATTCTGTAATGTGCTTGAAGAAATATTTATGTATAATTGGTCGACAGCAATACCGTGTAAGCAATCGTGTAAGATGCAAATAATTGGTATTAGATTTACTATTTCCCAAATGTTCAACCTTGATCAGCCTAAAACGGTGTTTTCTAGTCCTATTTCGGGATTTCTAAGCTACCCGAACCCAGTTAAGTTCACCGCTATAAAGTGTACATTTTCGATATATGACTCTTAATGAAATTTCAGAAAACTCCGTAAATACCTGTTTTCCTCCTGTGTCGTCATCTGTTAAAGTAGTGATTCAACTTCTTTTTTCGTGTTGTTTCTTGGCGCTGTGACCAACTATTTATGCTTCGTAAAGTCGTGGACATGTTTTCTTGACCACACATGCTTCAGAGATATTGCTGGGATCACCGGGTAAGTAATAGTGAGGTTAGACACAGCGTATTAGGGAATGTTGGTAAATCAGTTGATGAGGTTGTGAATCTTGGTCGACTGAGGTGGATGGGCCACGTGTTACATATGCCTGAACACCGATTACCACGATGCGCAATGCTGACTAGTCCTAGTGATGGTTAGAAAAAAGTTAGGGGCGGCCAAACCAAGACGTGGCATCAGTGCTCAAAGTCACTATATTCTAGTCTTAGCCATGTTGGTAGATGCAGACTACTTGATTGGGGTCCGCGTGACTGTCGTAACCAATGGTTGGAGACTCTTGGTGACGTGGCTCAGAATCGATCACAATGGAGTAGGCGTATATACTCTCCGTCTTCCCTTAAACTATGAGATTAAAATCGCTTCATATCTTCCTACGAACTACTAACTATATCCTTATATACAATTTTTCTTTCATATATTACCAGTACTATGTCACACCTACACGGGTTGTTCTAGCTTTCAGAGAGTCCAAATAATTTGTTCCTCTTGAGCCATTATTTGACCTTGTCAATTATTCGCTTGTAACCTTGACTTCTCATATGAGCGTGTTTGTGTGTGCCGCTTACTCGCTCCTCGAATATCTTTAGCTTATTTTTGTCTGTCTTTATCTACTTCTGTGAATCCAGTGTCCATCTTGCTGTGCTAATGCGGCATGGCAACCTGGACCGATGCACATATGTGGCTGGTCCTACGTTGTAGCTGACTGACTGACTGTATATGTTTTCTGACTAGTGTTTAGCTCTGTGAGATGTTCCACTTCCAAAAGCCCAGTAACATTAGTGATTCCCATCTAATAAATTCCGTTTACAGTTTGTTAAGTAATTTTTTAGTTTTGAGTAGTTTGGGGAGATTGGTTTATTTCAAATTCGGTGTACTTCAAAAACTGCTCTCAACTGGAGTACCGAAGTTCGATCCGTGTTGAGGTTTAATTGAGGACTACTGTGGAGCCCACACCAAAACGAATAATCTATCCAATACTCCGTGGCTTCCAGTAGTACCCGAAATGTTATCAATCGGTAACGAGTAAAACTTACTAGTTTTTTTAAAACTATGAACTATAAATCTTTCTATTCATTGAAATATTCGACTTTATAATTCTTTTTGTGTATAACTTGTAAATATACTGTTCACTTTTTTGTTTCATTTTCTTTTTATAGTAAATGCTGTTCGACTTATTAATGAAGCAGAAACCGATGAGCTTGATTCTGAACACTATGCTATCGCTCTAGGTGTTCTTGTCAAATTAATGCAAGTCAGTGTACACTTTGAATACTGCGTCATTGATTTTTCATCGTTCTCAATATATATTGTCTGAACATCCTTTAAAGATGAGATTCTAGATTGTATCTTCAGAGAACAGTGCCGCAGTGGTTAAAACAATTGATCTTCAATTATTAACTTTTTATTGTTTAGTCGTTCAAACCCAGTTTTCAACTATTTATCACGGGTTCGAACCTGGCTCCCTACAGCCTCCTGGTATCTTCTCTAATGTCCAGTACTATGTCACACCTACACGGGTTGTTCTAGCTTTCAGAGAGTCCAAATAATTTGTTCCTCTTGAGCCATTATTTGACCTTGTCAATTATTCGCTTGTAACCTTGACTTCTCATATGAGCGTGTTTGTGTGTGCCGCTTACTCGCTCCTCGAATATCTCTAGCTTATTTTTGTCTGTCTTTAAATAGTGAGTCACACTTTATCAAGTAGGGTTGAGACGCTTGGTTTTCTCTTTCCCGCTTCTTATTCTTAATGTCTATCTGAGTAAATGAAAATCTAAAGTAAATTCAATCCAACTTAATCTGTATTTCGCTTATTATTACCACCGTCGCACAAATGGGTTAATCGATACGTAATATATAGAATTAAACAGATTTGTTTGTCATATTCCTTCGTTTATACAAATCGGAGTCAAATCTCCGGCCATTAAAGTAACAATCCATCATACTTTAAACCTTACACAAAACGTCTGGGTTCAAAACCCAAACTGAGTAAATGAATCATCATAAATTTTATCTGATTATTGTATCACAGGTTCAAAACCTGTTCACCGATACTTCATTTTGAATACGCAGCTAGTACCAATAATAATGAAGCATATGGGTTTGCATTTAATTGCTGAGTTGCATTAAGCGTATTTTTTATTTAATGTAATCCCATTGTGCATTACAAATTTTATTAAGCCAGGTGGATCATTCAATAATAGGATTATCTCCTAAGTTTTATACCTTCGATAATTTTGTTTGGGTACTAACCAGCTGTAAACCACTGAATGTAGTTTAGTTTATCGATTATAAATCGTAAGTTCTACATTCTCCTTCTTCATCAATACCTTCAGTGGTCTATTGATTTTTGACCGTAGTTTTTTATTACTACTCAGTAGGAGTGCACGAGGATGTGTTTTATCTCCTAGAAAATTAAAGTAACTATCCTCCACTAGTTATTATCATTATTTTATTTAATATTTTTTAGAATGAATGTATTTTATTGGATCGTTTACAGTTGACTGCTAGTCCACAAGATTCTCAAGTGTTATTGTTCAATATATTTAAAAACGGGTCATCTGATATCCTAACTGAAGGGACAGTAAGTCTATTTCTTTTTCTCTCGCTTTAGTAGGTCATATTATTAAAATGCTTGATATCAGTAATGATAATTCAGTATCCTAAAAGTACATTATTGTAATCCAAAATTACCATTACAATTTATTGGAGGCTCTTTGCATGATGGAAACCCTACACTAACATTCACACCACCTAGTTACCCAGTTATAATCTTTTTGTCTTATCCATAGTGCTAATTTAGTTCTATCGATTAGGCTTAGGCCTTCCTACCAGATTGGCTTTAACTGTCGAACACTTCTAAATTTCTGTGCTTTGAACTAATGTGTATTTCAAGGTGATATTCATCACAAATTGACACTATGTGAGGTACCATTGAAAACTGAATAGAAATCAACAGTTGTTTCGTTCTTACGTGGAAATTACCAACAGCGCACACTAAGACCTCATGAGCAATCGAACTCAGAACCTTCAATTGTCGTGGCGAGATCCTAACCATCACATTAATTGGCTGGCATTCATTGGTACATTTTTAACTTCAGTCAGTTCGTTACACAGAATGATGCCCATCTAATTCCGTTGGTGACTACTGTTTCGCCCCCAACGTATCTAAGGTCCTCCAGTCATAATTTTTTACCTGAACTTCAGAGATTCATCTCAGAGTTATCGGTGATCACAAGTTTTATTGGATGATCAGTTGTGCAGATTAGTTTAAAATAAAGAGGGCATTTGTCACAGAAACTTGAAGGTTGTGGATTTTTTTTCTCACCCTGTTCACAATTCTGGATAATCAGAAAATTGTAGGATTATTCACTATGCATATTATATTATGAGTGACCTGACAAATCGATCCCTCTCTCCAGTTCGACCACAATTTCAGTTTTTCTTTCAGTCTATCTGTTTTTTAGTAGACATCGTACGCGGTAGGTAGCCATTTTTTTCCTAATGTTACACACTTTTTATACATTTGTGTCGAAAGACTAATAAAACATTGTTTTCTTTTATTTTGTTTCCAAAATATCTCTTCAGGAACCTCTTATCTATTTAATCCATTATTATGTAATATAATTCATGTGCAATTAGCATTAAATATTATAAATGATTCAGTAATACTTGCATCGCACTTTTGTTAGTTCATATTCACAAACTTCGCTTTGTTTTGATGTTTACCATAGACACTAACTCGTTTAATGCATCGAGCTCAAGGGCGGGCAGAATTTCATATGGTTATGTCATTATTAGTAGTACTTAAAAAGTTCTTCCAAATTTCTGATGATCTTGTATCTGTACTTCAGGTAAGATAAATGTTTTTAATTATTGAGAATTTTTGGAAACATATGCATCCATTTGTCTTTTTATAAATGTTAGATTTTGTTCAAGTATTCTCTCTGAGGTTGAAATTCGGTATTATATATTTGACCACCCAGGGTGTGGAATAACACTGAATAGTGATCATATCGTATCACTGTGTTTGATTAAAGTAGAAAAGGTAACTGCTAGATTTCGTCTTAAATGTTCTAGTTTGGATCTTATTCATATCAGATCATGGATCTGTACAAATTAAAATGGTGTAAATATAAGCTCTTGAAGTTTTTGATTGAGATCTTGAACGTGTTACGTATGCCTGAACACCGATTACCACGACGTGCAATGCTATCCGGTATTGGAAATGGTTGGAAGAAAGTTAGGGGCGGCCAAACCAAAACGTGGCATCAGTGCTCAAAGTCACTAACTTCCAGTCTGAGCCATGTTGGTAAATGCAGACTACTTGGTTGGGGTCCGCGTGACTATCGTAACCAATGGTTGGAGACTCTTGGTGACATGGCTCAGAATCGATCACAATGGCGTCGGTGTATACACTCCCTGTCTTCCTTTAAACTAAGAGATTAAAAGCGCTTCATATCTTTCTTTCTACGAACCAATTCTTTCTTCTTGTACTATATCTCTATATGCAATCTTTCTCTTATATATTACCACCTTTTACCTAACCACTGTTATGAATCCGGTGTTCATCTTGTTGTGCTGATGCGGTATGGCAACCTGGACCGATGCACATATGTGCCTGGTCCTACGTTGTAGCTGACTGACTAAGCTCTTGAAAAAAAACGATGATTGTATGAACTCTCATTTGAGACCATAGCACTGTTTTATTTGATAAATTAATCAATTTTTAGTAATAAATTTATATATACTTAACGACTACTAATGTTAATTTTCTTTTTTTCTTTTTTCCTTTATTTTCTAAATAGGGTGTTGATAATGTATTAATTGATTTTAATCAATTAGTTCTTCGTTTATTAAGTCAAAGTAAAATAACGCTAGAAACTTATGTACAATTTTTACAACAAGTTACAGAAAAATCTAGTTCAAATAGTAATATTGTACCTGAAGATGGAACAATACATGAACTTACAACTAATGTAAGTGAAATTCCATTGATAGTTGTGTATTGAACTTTAAAGAATAAGAACAAATATGTGTTTTCTTTTTCATTCATTGGTCATAACTTTGGTGGATGTGTAAATAAAATAGACTTACACTGTAAAAGCTGTTAATTAGTGGCATATTTTTCTAAAAGAATCCCTTTTTGATATTATTGATCTGTTCATTGAAAATGCTAATCAGTAATGTGAAATTTTTTTAGAAAATTCTCTAGGTTGCATCAAGCCTCTTTCAAATACTTCTCATTTGTGCCTGTACACTTGTCCCATCATTTTGTTGACTGTTGAAATATACCATTCTGTGTAATCAGACCTTGTCATTTCACTTTTAGTCGTCCTCTTACCGTTGTCAATACAATTTCGGATTGTATGAGCAAACTGAAAACCTAAGTGATGTAGTCCAAATAACTAGTTGCATGGATGATCGATCTAGTATGACAATTAAGCTTGTAAAGATATATGTCCTTAGCTTACATACTTATTATTTCATTTATTGGATCAAGGAAATCATAAATTACATTAATTAGTACCTCAAATAAGGCAAGCTGTGTTAGACTAGCTCAAGGTAGTAAGGGGCTGTATATTATTACTATAATCTTTCATTTTTGCAGTGAAGCGCTCCCGGTATTTTTAAGTATGTAACTGTTATGTCCTTGGACTGTCTACCCACTGTTGGTGTTGAGGCTACTTATCTAATAAGCGATAGGCTGACCGACCTAACCTTGAGGCTAGTACACGTGAGTTCGAAATGGGTTAAAGAGGAGAAAGCTATTCTATCACCTAATCGGCTGACAAGCACGCTAATGAGAGAAGACAAGACAACTGGAACACTACTTGATCTATTCCCGATATTCTGATTCCTGATTTTCTTCTGATTTCCAGATTAATGTAAAAAGGTACATGAATAATTAGGTAACTAACCCGACCACAACGTACAATAATTAGAAAAAATACAATTATGCCTGAAGCTGGGAATAGGGTGCAAAATATTGTTTAAATTACAATAGCTTCGGAACAGAAAAGGTTATGGCAATGAGTCATACATCGAATGAAAGCTTATGTTCTGTAGAATAGATTAGGGACAAAAATAAGCTTTGAATAAAATGGAATAACGTCCCGAAAAAACAGCTTTCGTAGGTTGTCAGGGCTTCTTGTTTTACTGTTCACATCAGTAACACAGACTATCTATTGGTCATTTATGTTGTGTGCGTGCAACAAAGGCCTTTTAAATTTTAATTCTATAATCATCAAAACACTATTCAAAGTTTACTAAGGATTATCGGTACAGTATAATAATAACAATCTGATAATGTGTTAATATTCATAGCTGATAAAATAAACCTTTTTTGGTTTTCCCTAGTCACTGCTGTTCTTAATTTTTGTTTCATCGAGTATACATTTCACAAAAATACTTTTTTTGTGACAACAGACTAAAATATCACTATTCATCACCGTTTTGCATGTAACATTTTTCCAAGATGACATTTAAAAGGTAAATACTAAGAATTCTTTCTTAGTTTATGACTTCCTAAAGTAAGTGATCAAAATTGTACTATCTGAGGCAAATGTACACTGGCTGAATTCGTCACACCAAGAGGTGATAATCAAATAAATCATCAACTATCAACATCTCTATCCCTCAGGAGATCAGACGCGACTCGAGCACCTTAGTAATAACGTTTCAGACTGTGAAGCTAAGTGAAATGGGTTCGAATCACACAGTAAACATCAGTCCCCTCAGAATTACATATAAGTCTTGTTGATGAGTGCCAAGTATCATAAAATCTAGATCCAATATCGCCTGTTGACTACGTTTAATCACCTAACGAGTCCCCATATAAAATACTGTAACTACTAATTGAAACGTATCAGTATTGTTGTTATGCACATTGAACTGACTTGAAATACTTATGTATATCTGTTTTTTTCCTTATCGATTAGGCATTGATGTATTTAGAAAACTTGTTAGAATTCGCTGATATTATTGGTACTACTTTGTCATTTACTGAAGCTGGTCCACAAGCTACCACTAACACACTTAAATATCTTACCACTATTGGCCAAAATCATGCATTTTTGGAAAATAAATTTGGGAATTATTTATGTAAGGATTCTTTTCTTTTTTGTATGATAAGTACTTTTTTAGTTTGTTATTGACATTTGAAACTAGTTTATTCATAAAGAATTGCTTATGATCTTTCAAGGGAAAATAGTACATATTCTGATCAGCGAGAACTGTTTACATCTATTTAGAAACATGCACTCTGTTCATTTTGGAAGTTTTGTTGTTTAATACATGAGTCTCATTTGTTTGTGATCAATGAGTTATTCAATATACAACTGCTGTTTTTTATGACAAAATCAAATGTCGAAATACTAAAGTTGTCGAAAATAAGCATTTATAAATGATTGTTTTCGAACAACTCTAGTTGGCCTACACAATTTATCAGCTACATTCATCTTAGTCTACATAATCCTATTCGCAATTTTATGTGAACACATCCATTTCAGAATAATCCAAAATTTACCTGACATACATACTATAAGGTCATTGATATATTAGTTGAAGAAATGTTTTTGCATATATGTGCCCGGTCCTACGTTGTAGCTGACTGACTGACTGAGTAATTCAAAAGAGTTAAGGATAACTTGAAAAAAGTCTTATAACGCACAGTTCTCTGTAAAGAGGTAGTGATTTATCCCTTACTTCTTTCTCATAGCAAAATAAAATCCTACTTAACTGTTGATATTACCAACTGAACATTTACTATGATGTGGCTATATCATAAAGGAGATCTAGAAACGTAACAAAACCAAACCGTAGTTTACACACCAAAGACAATAGTCAACTAGAAAAGATAAACATACGAAGTGTTTCTTTCATAATTCGGATCACGACTATGATAAACTCCCCAGGATTACAATATACAAAACGAACAAATAAATATCGAATACTAAATTTGATCTTTGCATTTTAATAGAGTGAATTCATATGGGATACTTATCACTTCGGGGTTTCATCACCTATGGTTTCTGCCTAATGGTCACCGATATGCAACATTCCAAGACCGATAATGAAGTCTCAGCTTCCAAACGCTAGTTAAGAAATAATTTTTTTAGCTTTCTGAATCAGACGTTTATGTTAGAGTGACTACCCTGAAGTTTATTTGAACTACTCATCTAGCCATCACTAAATATCTGTTGAAACAAAAGTTCTGTCGCTCAAAACTTCTCTCTAAATTGACTAAAAAGTGCTTTGAAATCACCATTACGAGAACATTTCAACTATATACAAATCCTTGATTTCAACTACTTAACAATTGCAACAATGTCATAAATTATTCAAAATTTATTTTGCAACATATCGGTCAGTCAGCTACAACGTAGGATCAGGAACATATATGCATCGGTCCAAGTTGCCATATTTCATTAGCAAAACAAGATGAACACCAAATTCATAGAAGCAGTTACTTCAGTGGTAGTAATATATAAAAGAAAGTTTGTGTAAAAGGATCTAGTACAGGAAGAAAGGATTATAGAGAAAGGTATGAAGTAATTTTAATCTCACGATATAAGGGAAGACGGAGAGTGTATACACCTACGCCATTGTGATTGATCCTGAGCCATCTCACTCAGTCTCCAAGCATCGGTTACAATAGTCGCGTGGACCCCAACTAATTAGTTTGCATCTACCAACACGACTCAGACTAGAAGTTAGTGACTTCAAGCACTGATACCACATTTTGGTTTGGCAGCCCCTAACTTCCTTCCAACCATCCCCAACACTAGTCAGAATTGCGTCGTGGTAATCGATGTTCAGGTATACGTAACACGTGGCCCATCCATCTCAGTCGATGTTGATTCACAACCTCATCAACTGATTTACCAACATTCCCTAATACTGTGTGTCTAACATCAACATATACATAGACCTATAAGCATTTGACTATTTTTTCACTATTTTTATTTTCGAAAATTGTTTTTTCCTTTTAGTTAATGCTATATTCGCTCTTATGACAAATTTGGAACGTAAATCAGAAGTTTATTCTGAAGAAATACGTCGAATGATTTTCCAAATGAATAATATTCAATACATATTGAAAAGTATTTATAAGTATGTGTGATTTCTAAACTCATATAATGTGATAGTATTCATGTAACTCATTTGGGGAATACAAACTTAAGTATTCAATTTTAAACCACACTCTGTCGAACAACTCAGACCGAAGTAAATGGTACAAAACGTGCAATCTAGTTATTGCAAATTAATTATTGTATCCATGATATTACTACTCTAAAAGTCATGTGTTTCCAACTATTTGAATCTCCATGAACAAATTGCTAATAGGTATATATCCTGTAACTAAAAGTTATCCTAAATCAATATGCTCAAATTCAGATAACTTGCATGAATAAGACCTTATGAAATTGAAAGTATATCTATTAAATATATTACTGTCTCTAGTGAAATTTCTCCAACCATTCCATTTACCATAGTAGTTTTAACGATCAAAAGTCCAATAGTTGATCTGAATGCAAAGCTAATGAGCCAAAGTAGATCAAACCACGTCCTTCTGTATATTATCTACACTAGATACCCTCCCAGTGTCTGTTCTAAAGGCCTTCAACACAACTCAGATCAAGAACACGTGACTAGTTTGACTAGAATGTATGTATACTTCAACACTAAAAACCAACAACAATCCGTCAACAGTCACAGTAATAATAAAAGTAAGAAAACATATAACTCATCTCGTACCTGTCAAACTATCTACTAATCTGGCTAAACAAACAACCAATCATTATCAGCCTCGCCCACGCATCACCAATATTGAACTATATTAAAGCACAAACTCTTTCCTTATTGTAATCGGTTCTAATTTAACAAAGGAAGTTATATCAGGCACAGTCAGGCTGTTACACCATGGGTTTTCGCTCACATGTTATATATTATCGAGGATTTTGGGATGTCTTTATTTATCAGGTATAAACAGTTTTCTTTTCGTCTCACAATAAATTTCGCAATGTTTTTGCTTGTTATATGACATTTATTGCAGTTTAGTAGTTTGACATGTTTGTTGCTGACATCCTGTGTGAATTTTTAGTAAGCTTAATGTGGTTACTGTAACATTACTAATTCAGGCTAGTGAAATTCACCGTTTATGAAGTCAAAAATAAACCATAATCAGAGTTTTATGGAAAAATGAGCGTTAAGAACTTTTACATATAATCCAGGTCCTTAATTATGGTGGTGTTGAAAGTGGATATTCGTAGCTGTTTGTAAACTGTAGATTTAAGCAATTAATCTAGCCGATTGGCATCATAAACATGGTATAAAGCAAACTACTAACATAGTGAGTCGTTCATAGTTATATGATGGGGATTCGAAGGTGTCAATGTACGATAAGACACAACCCTACAAGAACGAGAATCAAATAACAAGTATTATTGAGTTAATTCTTGAATTCCTACCTCATTACAGACTGACTCAAGTGACATTTCAGTGGACCTTAGCGATGCTTTTCAAAGTATGATACTGAACAAACGTTTCGCATGCTGGGATGACTTTGATAGCGCGCTAAAAGAGTTCCAAAAAGTATGGATGAATAATTTTATCCCTTCTCAGACTACCCATACTCATTACATCCACACGGAAAGCAAGTTGCTGAAGGATGTCAGGTTCAAGTACCTGTTTGTTACGTTTCACCGTACATTTGGTCATAAGCGTAATTCGGAATGTTTGAAAGTGAATCAAAAACCGTGAGAACTTTAACTAATATCTGACGTTTAAGGTCTAAATTCCTTAATTGCCAATCAAAGTTCCGTGTAAGAATGGAGGAGCAAGGATATGTCATCAAATCCTACAAGATGCTCCACAATCATCCATGTAGTAGTTCATGGATGGTTTGTGATCCATCGACAAGAAGATTGTCGTCGGAAGAGAAAGAATTTGAAAGGTGGTCACCGCTGCTGATGTAAAGACTATGAAAACTAAACTCTCCACAGGTAAGTGTATAAAGATACATTTCAGATTGTTGTACTCGAAAGCAGGTAATGGATTTGCTGCGACAAAAAGGTGTGCGCCCATGAAACCGAAGACTCTGTATTCGACCCTAGGTGGAAGGGTTATGGATGGACAACTAACTCCAAGTCCCATACTAGGATGAAATAGTTGTCCGGGGCTTCCAGTTACCCGACCGTTGTCTAACTTGGGTTGGTTCATGATCTCACCAATATTTATTAATCTCCACAAACCCCTATAATTTTGGTACTTAATCATCTATTCCCAATTACTTTTTTCCATATTTTGGTTTAAATAAATGGATATATCATTGTTTTTTTCATTGTACAACTAAATAATACAGGTTTCCTTAATTTATACGTTCTTTTTTCATTGTGTCGGTAATTGGGATGATTTTTAGGACAAATATTCACCGTTATCTTTTATCACAAGATCGTGAAGCTGTTGCCAAAATTACTAGTATATTGGATGAACGTAAACTTTTTTATACACGATGGTATGTTTAACAAATGTTTGTTTTTGGTGTTCACAATCTATTTCGTTTTTGTTTTGAGGAAAATCAAACTTTATTCAGTTTATTTACTGGTTAGAATATATATTACTAATATCCCGATGGGTCGAATATTGTATGTTTGACTCTTCGATTTTGTGTTCTCCCAAATTCTAATCCTTTGAATTTGTCATGTCCCTTTTTTTCCTCTTCCCAAATTTATTTCACTGTGTTATACTCCCTGAATAACATCTTCAAGCCTTAATCTTTCCGATTACAGCTTATACTCTTACTACCTCTACCACTACGGTATTTGAATGGACAACTGCATCTCTGTGCTAATGTGGTATGACAACTCGAACTGACGTACGTACGTAAGAAGTTTTACGTTGTGACTGACTGACTGACTTCGATTCTCCGGATAATTTCCATCTGTTAATTGATAGTAAACCTGATTCCTGACGGTTGCTGCTACTTTAACATTGTGGTCGATCTCGTCTATCGAGATAAACCAATCGGGCTATACTGGCTGGAACAATCGTTCCTCAAGAATCCTACATGCTAGGTAAGTCGGTTGAAAAGCAGTAAACCCAAGGTACGAGAGCGAAGTTGTACTGCTGACCAACATGGCGACCCCCTGCACCAAACCAACGATGCACTCAAATAGACCATATTGCCACCAATCATCGTTGGAAAGAGTCGATAGAAGATTGTCGCTCGTTCGGGAATACCTGCTTGGACTTCGACCATGTTCTAATATGGATACGCATCTGCTTGCGCCTCATTGGACGCAGGAAAGCCACACAAAGAAGACCCATTAATGTCGAACTCAGTGACGAGAAAGCCAAAAGTAGATTCCGGGAACAACTGGAGCCACGCTTACGCAGTTCTGAAAGCGAGGCTGATATATACAAACAGCTGTGGAAACAGCAGTGACATATGTTAGTGATTTAAGCCAAGAGGTTACAAAAAACCAATGAACTTCTGTGACATCTGTTGCAATGATAAACTCTCGTAAACTTATCCCATCAGACTCCGAACACAATGACGAGCGAAAACAAATCAGATCTAGGTTAATCAAAAGTTTACGGAACGATCTTGAGCAGTCGTGGGCGATTAAAGCAAGAGAGATGGAGGTAACAAAAGACGGGTTTCCAGACTATTGAAAGAAACGAATTGAGAAGTCAAGTGTGAGTGAAACAATCTCGGAAAAAGATGAAACTCTTATCTGCTCTCAGTCCAGAAGTTTGAACGATGGATGGAACACTTTAATAATCATTTCAGCTAGCATTCAGCTACTCTACAGCTACCTAACATTTCCAAACATGGAACATTGAAATAGGCTCCCCGACTCTAATTGCAGTTCAAAAAACCATAGATAGTCTGAACCGAGGAAGAACAGCTGGCCCAAATGGACTTAGGCATTTGATAATTATTAAGACTAGTATTTTCGATGCTATGGTAGTCATACTAATCCCCCTATGGATCCCTTTTTATATATTGGGACGATTGCGGCCAGTCGGATAAGATTACGTCCAGTTCTCAGATTTTAGCTAAAATATTAGTCAACCTAAAACTGAACCACCATTCTTAAAGACATCTGGAGTAAGTCCATCTGGACCAGGTGTTCTTCCTCGTTTCAGATTATTTATGGCTTTTTGAACTTCAATTAGAGTCAGAGAATCTGTTTCAACGTTCAATACTTTCTATATACTTTATCGTTTATTGTGTCCAACCATTCCTAGCATAATTTGTTTTGTAACAAATCCTTCGACGTAAGCATTGTTATAAACTCAGTACCTATCACCATAAAAATTGTCTTAGTGAAAATGTTTTTATGCACTGTCCCAGTCTCTTGACTGAATAGCGCATAAACACGAACTATCGATCTCATGTTAAATTAATTAATTAAACGGCAGATATCCGTAAACACAGACAACTAGACTTATCATGAATGCAGCTTATCAATCGGATGTATTCACTCTTCATGTTTATCAATATATTTTTTAGAAAAATATTTTTGCAAACTTTATACTTTCTATTAGTACAAAGTTGTAGAGATTGCAGAATTTCATTGAGATCAATAGCCGATCTAAGCTAAATAACCATTAGAAACTTGAAAGGATTAGACGTCCGTTTCGTCCTAGCATGGGAATCTTCAGCATCCCACACCCACGACTTCTCGACTGGGAATCCAGCCCAGGACCTTCGGTCTATATGTTATTTCATTATATATGTTTCCTATTGTACTTATTTTTTTCACTTCAGTCATGAACTAGATAACTAATCCTTTCTTTTTCTATAAACAAAAATTATGTATTAGTTGTGCTGATATACTACACTTACGACCATTTCCTGAAAGTTGTGGATCAAGTAGTATTCGTCGACGTAGAGTCTCTCAATTTGGATCTGTATTACTAGCTTCTGTATTATCACCAAATCTAAACACTAATCATCATAAACATTCAATCACTAACAATGAACAATCTCAAGATACTATGGATGAACATCTAACCAAGGTGTCTTTTGTTGTTGTTTTTTGTTACATATCCTACTATCTCATCGATTTAGAGTTGACTTCTTACTAGTTTGTAAAATCTCTATTATTTTCATATAATGTGTTTATGCATGCAATAGCCTTGTTTATCATAATTTGATAATGAAAAATTATCAAATATTAATGATTGTGTAATTGTTTTCATTTATCAATTTTCTAGTTAATAGTAATCATAACTCTTATCTTAACTCTTTGCATTCCTACTAATGGTCATTATAGCGGCAAATATAAATTGGTGCTTTATACTAGCATGTTAATAACATAGTACTATAGTATTATACTATAACCTTAATCATTTTTGTCTCTAAATTATTTTACCTAGAGATCTTTTCTTTTCTTCTTTTCATGTTATATTGAATAATCTAGGAAATTGTGATTAATTTTTTTTTAAAAACTGTTTTTTAAAATTCTTTTATTCTTTGAATTTGTTTCGTTTTTTGTTTCTATGTATGAAATTGATCTAATTCTTTGTAGGTGTGCACGCATGCTTTCATTACCAGATGGTAATATTTTAAATCGTATTACTGGTTTAATTAATCGTTCTTCTGTGAGTTAATTTACTAATATAACATCATTATATTTAGATAAATCATTCATAATGCATGTATATTTGTTTGTGTAAATCATTCCTTCTCTTATTATTTTAACATTAAATCATCAACTTGAATGTATCTATCATTTTATCAAGTAATTTATTTTTATATTGTAACTGTTACTGATTTGTTTAATATTTATCTTTTTTTACTTTTTAATAGATAGATCAAAAGGAGAGATCTTTTTTAAAATCTCTTTGGAATGTGAGTTTTACCGATTGACTTTAAAACATTGAATACCTTTTGTTAGTTAGTTTGTTTTTTTTGTTGTTGTTGTTGCTGCTGCTGTTTCTCAATAAATTCATTGTCCTACCTACCAGTCAAGGTTATGTATGAATGACTGTATCTGTGCCATTTTTGTCGCATTTATAATTCATATTGTTTGCTTTTTCATGTAATTTATGGTTATAGAACAATGAATTAACTCTTTATTAATAATGAGAACTCATCAACATTCTACTATTAAAAACCAAGAAGAATTTAACCCGTTCGACACTAAATAACATGAATAGTATAAATCTAGTGTAAATAAGTATATTTAGATCAAGTAAGACACAAGTCACAAATTAAACGAAACAGAGCTCTGGATAAAACAGCATCCATAATAATGACATCGAAGATGGGGCATATTTCAATATTAATACATGACCTTGACTGGTAAACGGGATAATTCTAGTCTTACTTACAATGTCCCGATAAATAAAAATCTTACCAAACTCGACTTCAATTAGTCAGTTATATGTAACGTAAGAACTGGCACACATACATGTACATCAGTTGAAGTTGCCCTACACCACTAACACAGAAAGATGAAATTGTTAGGGCGAATTCCAAAGAAGTGCATGTAACAGTATTAGTGTTAATAAAAAAAGATCAGACATCAAAGGTATTACTCTAGAAAATGTAAATTAGTGAAATAAAAAAGGAATTCAGAAGCTAATAATATGGGGTAAGACAAGCAATACATGCACCTGCACCATTGCGAACTATTCTAAGGAGTGTCATTCAAAGCCTCTAACGATTGTTTACTATCATCACGTGGTAGTCTATACCTGCCTACATGACTCAGTTCAATGGTCAGTGCCTCATGAACTGACGCTACGTCTTGGTTTGGCCTCCCCTGGCTTTCTTCCTACCTTCTCGTGCACTAGTCATCGTTGTGCGTTTAGGTAGTCGGTGGACGGGCATACGTAACACATGTCCCAAAAATCTTAGTCGACAAAGTTTCACTACCTCATCAACCGGTTTATCGTTCTTGCCTAATCCCAAAATGTACAAGCAGTGCTTCAAAGACACCTATGATCAAATACTAATAACCTTTGAGTACCCTTTATTCTTAATGGCCACGTTTCACAGCCATTAAGTAGAACGGAGTGAGCTGTTGCGCAGTGAACTCTTTATTTGGATGGCAGACGAATATCTCGCCTACGCCTTAAGTGACATAAATCGGTAAAGACCGACTGAGCTCTCCAAATCGGTGCCAGTATTTCGTCAGACACCAACTAACCGGTGTTAATGAGACTTCCATGATAAGTAAAGTCCACTTCATCTATGTATCATAAACTGACCAACTTTCGGTTTTGTTTAATTAGACCATAAACTTGCTATCAATAAGTACTGAAACATGACAAATATATGTATGTCAGTGTTGTAAGATAAAACTCCCCCACTTCAATGCTGATTTTCATTTACCTCATAAATAATATTAACTTTATGCATTTTGAGGAGTTGATATAATCAAATACCGAAAGCCGCCGTACATTCTCAACTTTATATGTATAAAGTAAAAATGTATGTACTAAAGTGCTTTCCGATGAATATTTTGCTTCAGAGCGAATGTTGTAATAGCGGTTAATTAATTAATGTATATACTACTATGATTTTTGTGTTTCACCTAAGTTTCTCCACTAGATTATTTACAGTTGATTTGTAATTAAGATTTACAAATATTAACTCATATCTTTTTCTTCTTACTTTGTATTCTAAGGATTTTAATAATGGACTAAATACTTTAACTAAACAACATCATCTTATTTCAATACCTGATCGAGAATTGAAAAATAGTTTAGAGCATCAATTAGTACGGGATCTAGTCGTTTTATATCGTGGTTTCTGGGAAAAATCAATGTCTATCGCATTCACAACAAATCGTGATAAATATATTAAATTGTCCGTTGAAGGATTTGAAATTCGAATACGAAATTTGTTTAATGGAGCATCAACTAACAGTACACGTCAATAAAAATACTTCATTTTTTTTTAAAATAAACGAAATAGTGATCTTCATATCGTTATTATCGTTAATTTTGTTACTTTAGTTGTTTCTTTATTCGAAAGAAAAAAAAACTTAATTCCTTTGCAATGTTTTCTCCACAAAATATAAAACTGAATTCTCTGTTTTTTATTTTTCTCTTTCTTTCTTTGTTTTGTAATAAATAGTTTGAAAACTTACATTGATATCGTACAACAATTAAATGCTTAATCAAATACATAACGTTATTGTGCTTTTTTATGTTATATGTTTCTACAGCCTCCAAGTGCCCTGGTGCAGTCGAGAGTGGGGAGAGTCCACTCTTTCTCTCGAAATGCTCTCACATGGCCACTGCCAGGGAAGTCCTATTCAATGCGGCGAGTGCGTTGTTTGCGAAATTGAGAAGACGAAAAGCGAATTTCCGGCGCCTTAATTGGGTTGGTGGACCAGGGTTCACCTAGGGGAGTTGGATAACCCTAATCCCAAACCAATAGTGCACATGGGATCTAGGATCCTGAGGGACATGTGGCATTTGAACCTATTGTTGGTCACAGGCTACCGCAAGACTATATGTCCTAACGTTGCTCCACTGCCTTGTGGATTAGACCTTTAAGTCAAAGGCTCCGAGTGTGGTTCCTAAGAAAACCACTTGCTTCGGTTCGGGTACTCGGGTGATAACTGATACTGGCCTCATCGTTATTGTGTAGCACATATCTATTTGGTGCCTTTTCTACCAATATTTATGTTTTCAAGTAAAATAATAAAACAAACGTCTTTACAACTTGTATGCATGTGGATAATAAGCTTATATTTTTAAGCCTAATGTATTTTTTTTATTTTATACTGATATCGATCGTGTTTATGTCCTTGGAAAAATACTTGAACAGCATAATACTTTTCAGCAACTTTCATCTTATGTCCTACAATGATAAGCTTTCCAAACTAATATTTTTTGCTATAACCAGAGTCAAATATTCATTGATAGGTATAAAACGAATTAGTAGCAAAAATGTAAGAATTCATTGACAATATTCTATTTTTCGCAGTTCACATTTTCGAAAATATTCATTTTGGGCGTAATAGGTCTTCTTTCCATGTCATTACGAATTGATATCATCTGGAATAGCATTAAGAAATCAAGGAGCATTGAATTGTTGGGAATGAGTTTTGATCTAGCCTTTTAAAAGATGAGATTTTACTGCTTCCAATACTATTATACCATCAAAGTATTTTCAACTTAAAGCCGTATAGATAGGTCTCCATACTTGGTGGATAAGTTACGTTATTATCCATCAAATTTCTTGTATTCTCCCTTAAAAACCATTGCATTTAAGTAATACTAATTCATATCGAAACAGTTGTCGTGTACCATGAAATAAATATGATGTGATGGATATTTGTAGTTGGCCACAGATTTTAGATGATGCCCTGGAAAAGTTATTTTTTAACTACTATACAGGCTAGATCAACTTTGGAATGATTTAATCATGATGATTTCAAACAGTTGTTCATTCTTCGGTCAATGAACGCATACAATACACCTATTTTTTTCTTGTTTATTTCTTCAAGATTATGGATATATTTTCATGCTATAAAAAAGATGATATACCTTTTGTTCGTATTTCTGCTCCTATGGTTCGATATACAAAGTTAGTACATAATTTTCAATATTTCTTCCAATAAACAACGTTTTCATGATGTACATGTTTATGAATCACTATGTTTCATGCACTTAACATTCCCCATTGATCCTTTAACCTCCGTTTACCTCCATTAACAAAATTCGTTTCACCATAATTTATATACACTAAATAGTTGTCAGTTTCTTCAAATAACAATCAGCATAGTATATGAAATTCAAGAGAAAACTATTGTAATCAAATAAATTATCAATAGTTTTGAACATTAAAATAACACTCAATACGATAAAGCATTAGGCCTTCATAAACTGTCATTGTAGAATATATTTCCTTACGAGTTGTCGTTTGTCTTTTTAAAAAAAAAAACTCAGCACTTCATCATGAGAATCATGTCAATATGTTTTACTTTCATAGTACACTTATATAAGTGGATTGATGTGGCTTAGTAGTTTAAAACATTTAATTATTTTTAAACCACTGATTCTTTTTAAGTGCATAGTACTACTAGCTATTACAGAAAAAACATGCTATTCATTGTGTACAGATATATTATTGTATATTGTATTAAATATAGAGTAATAAAAGGATCATAGGGATATAAAGTGTTATGCACGTTGGCTATTACTTTAAAATATGAATATAAAGTAAATTAAGATCCGAATCAAATTAAAAATATAATAAAATTGTACAAATTAGATAACATTTCATTTCTATTTCTACTCCTTGTATAATATTTTATTATTATTTATTTGAACACATAAATACTGGTACAAGGAGGAGCCAGATACATATGCGCCACACAAATCCCATTTGGTTTTTGTGAGGGTTGTGATACTGCCCGGGTGCCCAAACCGAAGCAGGTGGTTTTCTTAGGGGGCCACACCCGGAGCCTTCGACCTAAAGGTCTGAACCACCAGGCAGTGCAGTCCCATGGTAGCCGGTGACCAACAATTGGTTCATACGCCATTTGTTCCCTCAAAATACTGAAGCCCATTTGCACTGTTGGTTTGGGTTTAGGGTTGTCCAACTCCCCCAGGTGAACTCTCCCTGTCCAACAACCCGGTTAAAGCGCCGGAAATTCGCTTTTCGTCCTCTCAATTTCGTAAAAAACACTTCGGTCACGAGAAGGCAGAGGCTCTATACGCGTGGTCATGTGAGAGCATTTCGATGGGGAGAGCGGACTCTCCCCACTCTCGGCCGTACCAGGGCATTTGGGGGCCTTTGTATAACAAATATAATTGCTAACAATTTTATTCAAAAATTAGTATCATATACACCAGTTTGTGACAGAAAATATTTCGAATGACCCATATCTTTTTGTGAAAAAAAATAAATTGTGAAAACAATTTTCCGCAAGGCCACGATGTTTTGAATTGGTTTTCTACTACGAAGCAAATGTAGAGTACAGTAGTCTTTACCAATTGCTAATGTGTATATTCATTATTAATTATCACATTACAGTTCGTTCTTCATTACTTTTCAATTTATCTCAGTATATTTTTTCCATATGTGTATATACATCCATAGATTACCATTCCGTTTACTACTGCGAAAACATAACGTTGATTTAGTTCATACACCTATGATACTGGCTAATTCATTTATTCGATCAGAGAAAGCAAGAAATGTTGAGTTTACAACTTGTTCAAGTAATTTAATGTTTATTCTACTTCATTTTTATGATCATCCTATTTGTGTCTATTATCGATATATATTACATCATCTTGTAGTGCTAATGAGATATAGCAACTTGAACCGATGTATATATGTGCCTGGTCCTACATTGTAGCTGACTGACTGGTTAAATCATTATCAAATATTATTTTCTGATTTATACCATAATCTTGTAGTGGCTGGCGCTATGTCGAACTCTCATAGCTTATTCTAGTTTTCATACAGACCAAATTATTCGTTCTCTATGCTCGTCAATTATTTGCTTATTAACCTTGACTGTTTTTATTTGTGTGTCTATATATATTTCTTATCTGACTCATCATATATCTATAACTTACTTTTGTTCGACTATAAACATCGATTAACGCTTGATTAAATCGAGTTGGTTTACATGCCTTCTCCACCGTACATCATTTCACTTCGCTTCATTTCTTCGATCATTTGTCTTGATCAACTATTCTCGTATTTTACTTATTTAATTCCGTTATTTACTAACATGTGATATAAGTCGATGATTATATACGAGGACTGGTGAAATGTGTATTTCGATAACGACAATCAACATACGATCAAATTGGAATCAGATAACGGACTACTAAAATCTCATTTATAATAAATGAATTAATAACTTCTAGAAATCTCCGTTTAAATTTAAACAAATAGTCTCATGATCATTAAGCGCTGAATTAATGTAAAAGATTAAAAAGAAGAAAGCTATATTTGTAAAAAATTCAATCATTTAACTGTAAGTAAATTCATTATTTCTTTCAGTAATCTGATCCAACCTTTTTCAAAGAAGTATAGTCAAACATGGTCCAGCTTCAACTGACTCATGATTTCAATCTGAGAAATTTCTAAAATCTCCACAAAACCCATTCTGATAATAATCAACTGCTCACTAGTGACTGACTTCAGGAAAAACTCCCGAAGTTCTAGTGAGAAGCCGTTACCAGTGGAGTTCAACCAGGTCTGTTGTGAGATAGGAACTCACTGAAGACAATGGTGTACGGTGGCGCAACTTCGTGGATTGGTTGAAGTTAGATATAAACACCGTTGGATGCCGGCTCAGTGGTCTAGTGGTTAAGTGCTCGCGCGCGAAGCCAGTAGGTTTTGGGTTCGAGCCCCGCGTGGTGCGAGATCGTGGATGCGCACTGCTGAGGAGTCCCATACTAGGATGAAACGACCGTCCAGTGCTTCCGGGTTTTCAATGGTGGTCTAGCTTCAACTGACTCATGATTTCAATCTGTGAAACATTATATATGTCGAATTAATAACTGTTTCATTAATAAACAGTTCATTTACGGAATATTGTTTAAAAATTAAATTCCTTTAAGAAGAAAGCATCATCGTAGTGAAGGAGAACACCGGTGACAACAACCGAATTGTATATAGCAAAAAATTACAGAGTTACTTGGTAAAATAGAAAAACCATATTGTAAAGCGATAATTTGCAAATTATCAATGCATCATATCAACCTGGACTGTTCCTGTTGCAAACATCATTCCACTATCTCACATTTCATTGTTCATGCGTTTTCTTACATATAAACGTTGGTACAAAGGGACACTAAAATATATATGCGCCACACAAAATAATTGTCATTCAGTTTGTGTGTGAGCTGGGATACTGGCCGGGTGCACAAGCCGAAACAAGTGGTTTTGTTAAGGGTCACTCCCCAGATCTTTGACCCAGAAGTCTAATCCACAAAGCAGTGGAGTAACGGTAGGAGATGCAGTCCTATGGTAGCCGATTACCAAGAATGAGTCCATATGCCTTTTGTTCCCTCATGATCCTAGAACCCATGTCCACTATTGGTTTGGAATCAGATTAGATCCTCCGTAACCACCCGATTTAAGCACCAGACTTATGCTTTTCATCCTCTTTATTTCGTAAGCAACATCTCCGCCGCGAAAAGACAACAAGATGAACGTCCCTGGCAG